CCCTGGAGGTGTTCAAGGCCAGGCTGGACGTGGCCTTGGGCAACCTGGTCCTTTCCAACCTAAACCATTCTATGATTCTATGGTTTCCTTCAACCATGACAGCCATGCACTGAACCAATATTATTTGAGCAAAAGTACAACAGTGGAGCTATTGCTTTCCCTGTATCAGTGATGTGGTGTGTGGCTGCACAGGAGACCTTTTGTGTCGTGTTTGGTCTGTGGTACAGGTCTTGTCAACTGTTCTGCTGGGCTGTCCCCTCTGTAAAAGATAGGTCTTCTAAGCATAGGAATATACTAGGTTGTTGGTATGTCTTGCAATAACTGAACTTTCAAAGCTATGGTTAAAAAAAAAGGGTCAATATTTTTCTTATGGATGACTTAAAAAAAAAATCCCTGCTACTTTAAATTCAGTTTTGTTCCACAGTTGGCTCGCAGTGTGTATAACATACTAAGCAGGAGACAAGCTGTCCTTCAAGGGAAGTCAAACAAATCGAGCTAATCCCCTACTCTTGGGAAATAGCTCCAAAATCCTGCTGACCTCAGGAGAGGCAGCAGAGGGGCTGAAAAGGGAACTCTAGTGAATGTATTGCAATATGCAGTGGCATCCTCATAAAAAAACCCTGTCACTCTGAGGATTTGAGTGGTAGGAGAGCATCCAGTGTGACTTGTTTCACGTTCACTGTAATAGGAGCTGCAGCAGTTTAAGCACACAAAGCTGAATGGCTTTTTGCCTCTCTGAAAGACAGGCTTAATAAAAGAGACCAATTTGCTTGGAGCCCTTGTGTGATTGCTTCTATGTTTCAACATGCTCCATTCAAAGTTTCTTAAAACCAGGACACTTTTATATACCTGCCAAGATCGGATTTTAGGAACCAAAGTCCATATATCCAGTCATCTGGTTTTTGGTTTGATCCTTTTTCCTTTCATTCTAAATTTCCTTAGAGCTAGGATGCAGGTTTTAAACTGAGCCTGCAGCTGAAGCCTGAGGGTATTTAGCACTTCTGAGAATAGGACCAGAATGTCAGTACCTGGAAATACCTGAAAAGCAAGTTTAAACAAGAGCAGTGTTGGGCTGGCACAGGTCTTAAAGGTTTGTTACATCTATAACTCTGCCTTGTGTGGCTTTTTTGTAGTGTTTCTAGTTTATTTTGTTTTTTAAATAAATAATTTGGGCAGATAAATTCATCTGAGGTTTTGCAGCTCTCCAGCCAGCCAGACTGGAGAAAAAAAAAAATAAATAAATCATTGTTCTTCATTGTATTTGGATGACTTCTGTTTCCCTTATTTCTTCCTTCTTGCTTAGAATTATTTTCTTTTACAGTCAGTGCCCTTTTGTATGATATCAGGGTGGATTCTACTGGTTTAGATTACAGGAAGGAACATAGGCCATAAATAGATGGTATATATTCTGCTAACACCAGGAATACGGAAATAGCTCATCTTAAAAGGCAGGGGAAACCTAGCCAGTTGGCCACATGCCAGGAGATTGCAGAGTTGACAATTAGTGGGAAGCCTGAAAGAGAGATTAATGGTAGGCTGTGCTCTAAAAAAGAGCACGTTGAGCCCCAGGAGAAACTGGGCAAGGGCAAATTCCGGAAGAGCCATGTGCTGGTGCCTTAATGCAGTTTTGCCTTTCTCTTGACATCCCTGTTGCCGCAAGGTCCTGGCGTTCCCATGTGGTGTTTTTGTCTCTCTGATACTGACTGTTCACATAGACTGGGCTAGCTGCCTTCTCTGCCCTTACTGAATGTATTTAGGAGGGGCTTGTCCAGCGCTGTTTGAAAGAAATCCTTCTTACATGGTCAGCCCTTTCTGTACAGCCAGTTAACTGCAAAGGCCCTGATTATTTTTGCAAAACATAGTCTTTAGCTGGGTGACTTCTAATGCTGAATAGGCTGGCATTCATAAGATGCAGCTATTCAGAGCATCCTGGGGAGGTGGGTTTTTTGGGTTTTTTTGTTTGTTTGTTTTTGTTTGTTTGCACTCTTGAGTGCTCAGGTTATAGCTATAAGCTACAGCTGTTCTTTGGTAAGGTGTGAGAATGTCGCTGCCCATCCAAAGATATTTAATTAAATAATAGCTTGTAGCTTGTACATGACATCGCTGACATTGCTCACAGGATTTTCCAGCCCTTTTGTATGGACAACCAGAGCTGCTGTGGTTTTCCTTAAGATCAAACAGCAGAATTGGAACAGAATTTGGCCTCTCTAATATCCAAATCACTGCGGTGGTGTACAGCAGACAGGTGGCTTCCAAAAGCCCTGCTCTGCCAGAGTGCTGTCCACCGTTAAAACTGTGAAATACAGTTGAGCTTCATATAACAAGTTTTTTGTTACCGAAAACACTCTTAAAATTGTGTTGAACAGGTTAAAACAGAAAACAACCATGGGCCAGAATTCAGGCAAACCTGCAAGAAATCACCCTTTCCCCAAATGAAGAAGGAGAACAAATAGAGAATATAAGGTTTGGGTTTAGGTGGGATTTTGGGTTGCTTCCACATAGATTTTTCTTCCTTGGTATCAAATAATAAAGTTAGAAGGAACATTTGGTGTTAAGTGAGGCTGGTTTTATGGGAGAATAATGAAGGCTTTGTTCATTTGCTACTCAGTCTCTCCTCTACAAATAATTTCAGGATTTGGCCAACAGTTGTTGTACACATACAGTACTTGTCAGAGTTTTGACTCTATTTAGGTCCAGAGAATAACATATGATTATTTATTATTATTTTATACTTTTTCTGTCAACCATGAAAACAGCCCTTTTCTTCAAACAGGGGTAAAACAAAGAGTAACAAGAGTTCAAAGGCATCATGGAACAAGTACAGTTTCTCTCCATTCCAGTCATAAACTGTGCCAGCCCTAAGTTTGCAGCATGCACAGTAAGAAGCATCCCTGGCTCAGAGAAGTGACAGGGAGAAGTGACAGAGCCTCCTGTACGCTGAGGGCGAGGAGAAGCCAGGTTCTCTGCCTCTCCCCAGGCCGTAGCATGGAGAGGTGAAGCAACTTGCAAAATCACTCACATGCATCTCAGAGCAAGGAGCAGCCTCCTGGAGGCTGGGTCTGTCGCCTCGGCCTCCCTGTAGAAGCAGCCGAGTGCTTCTGTGCCACTCCAATTCCCATTTAATGAAATTGTCACCAGCTGCCTTTTCTGTGCCCTTATGTGGTGCCTTTGGCCTCTCCTTCTCTTTTCTCACACAGGAGATTGGGGTTTAGAGGGCAGCTCCACCTGGCAGTGTCACATGCCGTCTTCTAGCGTGGCACCTTAGGTGACTGTCTACCTTCCCTAAGCTCCAGGCATTGAGTTACTGGTCTAATTCTCTCCCCCTCAGTCTGGTGAATCTGCACGACGGCAGTGAGGTGTCTCCCGTGTTCGTCAGTCGGGTTGTGCTGCAGGATGAAAGCAGGGGAGGTGAGCGTGTCCACCGCCTGCGCTATCTCAAAGCTTTCGGGCAAGGCTCACTGCCTTCGGGTGCAGCTGCTTGATTAGCAGTTGCTGATCAACTCCCATTTTTCAAGGTTAAAGAAGAAAGGTAAATAAGAAAAAAAAATGTTGTACTGCTTTAAAAGTAAGTAATTGTATATTTAGAATACAGACTTCTTTGTGCTGCCAAACAGAGTTAAATTGGTGAAATGGTGTGTGCTGTGCTGTCATTTAGTGAAGCGTATGGCTGTTATGTAAAGGTTTTAATGACTTTCTTCATCTGTCTGCTTAGGAACACCATGCGTCTGGCAAAATTTTGAGAAGGCTCAAGGCGTTAAAGAAAGCTCATCTAAATAAAGGAGGGTTAACGTGACATTGCAGTTACTTAATCCTGTATTGTCCTGCCATGTGACTGCAGGGATACTGAGGCGCAGCGTTCTTTTCCCTGGTGCACAGATTATGCTTTTCCTGTCATCTTCCAGGATCAGTTGCTTTTCTAAACCTGCCATGAGGAGGAAACAGGGGAGCAACAAACTTTTTACAGCAAGGCTTCAAGGCACAGCAGCATTTCCAAGGCACAGTGACAAGCTCACAGGCTGAAGAATGAATCGAAGGCAAACACTACGTTCATCTCTTGGACTGGTACCAGAATCAAGGAGAACTACATTCTTAAGGTCAGCTATTCACAATGAACGGGAAGCATCTGGATTTATTCAGAGTAGTTAATCAGCTGTTTGTCTGAGCTTTATCTATCAAGTTAGTTTTCAAGGCAGCAAGCTAAAACCTGAAAATTTGTGTCAAATGTTTTGCATGTGTCAAATGTAGTGCATAGACAGTGAGCAACCAGCCACTTTCCTGCACAAAGTTTACAGTTTTAATTGCAAAGCTTCTTTTACCTTGTAGATGAAGAGATCCTGACATACTAAATCTGTTAGTGAGAGATGGATGTAAACAGCTTCCAGTTTTATCTCTGATTTTGAACACAACTCCAATACATAGATATGCCAGATTTGTTTTTGAAGTAATTTCCAAATTAATCCTTGGACTTTCAGTAAGCTGCTTTTTTGATAAGTTTTTCACAGTGTCCATTATGTGCAGGATTGCATATTCATACAGAATTTTCATTTAAACTCCTTATTGAGACATCTTGTTAAATGGGGAAGTGATTACCCTATAGACTATGACAACAGGATATATGAATGGAGGAAGTTTTGGAAAACACCACTATTCCAGGTGGCATCGTGAGGACAGCGGAGAAGATGATGGGCACCCGGAGTGCTTTGGAGGAGATGAAGAGAGCAGGCAGCACAGGCTGACCCCATTTGAGAAATTAATGCAGGATATGTCCCAGAATGAAAAAGTGGTGAAGGAATTAACCCTGGGAAAGAGAATTGGCTTCTATCGAGTCAGAGGAGAAATAGGAAGTGGGAATTTCTCGCAAGTGAAGCTTGGAATTCATTCTCTAACCAAAGGTAGGCACCACTGTGTGGGTCACCTGTGTGCTGAGCATCCTAGTTCTGTATGTATACAAACGGACCTCTTTGGGAAGAAAGATGCTGTCTGAACGTTAAAAATACATATAGATGTGTCTTTTTGGTGGTGATGTTGAGTGAATCTATACTCAAGGTCACAGATAAATGCTTAGGTTTGGATTAGGCTTTAAAGAAACCAGATAGCCGCTATTACAGGAAAAGTTCATATCTGCACTTCATGGAGTAAACGCATCTCATCCCATAGCTCAAACACTCCACATTTTGAAGTGTGGTGTTGTGCCTCCGCTCCTACAACTCGTCCTGTCCATCTGCCCTCTTCCCTGCCCCAACTCACGGACTGCAGGGCTGTAAGCGGTGCACCCCCAGGACAGCCTGTCTAGGCCTGCTCCTGCTCACAGACAGAGCTAGCAAGGCTTCCCTAGTTTCATCGCAAATTTTACTAGTATGGACAAAGCTTTTATTTGGTCAAAGCAGTTTTGGTGAGAAATTTTGTATCTGCTTTATGGGCTCATTTGCAGGTAGTTCATTACCATAAAAAGCTGGGACAGGGCTATAGGTGTGGTCTGAGCAGATGCAGGGAAATAACCTCTGGTACAGCCAAAGCGGGGTTTGTGTTGAATTGTCAATTATTTTTCTTTTTTTTAAGTACAGAAAAGCACCCTACATGCTGCTTCTGGCAAGAACTAGAAAGGCTAGGTAACTGCAATGAACACTTTAGTTATAGGTTCATCTGTCCTGTTTCTTCTGCCTCTGACTGTCTGACAATAATGGAAACTGTTCTTGTTTTCCCTCAGGGATGACTAGTTTTCTTCGCATCTTTGTACACTACTGTCTTGTTTTTTCTCATAGTCTTTTCTTTCCAATTTGATTGACTCTCCTTCCTTCCGTCATCTTACAGGTGAGAATGAGATACACCCCAAAGCCTTCATGCCATGTTATCTGTTGTTATTTTCTCTAAGCACCTCTTTCTGCCCAGACTGCAGAGGTGTGAAAGCTCACGTTTATCCCTCATGTGCAGCAGTTATTGCACTGGGAATCAAAGTGGAGAACTGATGGTATTTATTTTTTTCCAAATTTAAGCCTTCCTAAACCTAAGGGTTGCTTTAAGTGGGTGTGGAATTTTTGGTTTTCCTTGTTTCAGAAAAGCATCTCTTTTCTACATGGCCCACAGCAAGTTATTTCCTCTTCTGTCTGTGATTATTTTTTTTTTTTTTTCTTCTACAGAAAACTAGTGCTTACTGTCGGAGGAACTGCTACTTCTGTACTGGGAACAGGAGGAATGCTAATGAAAGGAAGTTATAAATTTGATCTGGATGAATCTTTTTACCTATTGAACTTAGGAGACAGGTTGCTTTAGCATTTGAATAGAGCTGATTGATTGAAAAATTTTTAACTTCAGTGAATACAGTAAGCTTGGACAAACTAAATACCAAAAACCTTTTTTTTTTTCCTTGAAAATGCTCTTTTTCACCAGAAAACTCTCAAATTATTTTTCTTTGCTTAGTAGCTTTTTTTGGTTAAAATGTTCACTGGGCAACGAGTTCATTTCTTGATATGAAGTTTGCAGCTGTCATGAGGTAGGAAGGATGAAGCATAAACATTTTCTGACTTATATGTCTGCCTTGAACTTAACTGTTCTCATAAAATACAGTATGTGGATAGAATAGGAACACTCACATGTGTGCACACACATAAGCAAATGCATGCATACACACACACCACCATCACCCACAGAGGATTCTGTTTTTTCCAATAGATGCACATAGTTGTGTTGATAATGAAGTGATGTTCCTGCACAGTGCTAATGAGTACAAGTCTTTTTTTTTTTTTTTTTTTTTTTCCGATTATATAAATACAAAGACTTCATTATTAATGCTTTTTGGGTCCCTGTAGTAAGGGGAGGTGTATATGTTGGGATGTTGTTCAGATCTCCAGTTATTGTCATAGTGTTAAGTTCTAAGCATGGTCTTGCTCCTTACACGTCACCCTAGTTACCCTATATTAGAAAAGGAAACAATTTTGTTCTTTACTAAGATGAGCTTTTGTAACAATTACATGTGTGTGCTGTTCTGTAGCCCTTGTGATCTGTTGCAGCAGGATATGAAAAACAAAGTTTTCTAGGAGGAAAACAACTGCAGCATCATACTGGATGAAAAAACTTATTTCTCTCATAAGAGCTGCCTTGGTTGCTTAGAGGATGAAGGAGAATCTTTGGCGCTATGATGTATATTGGGTTATTCAGGAGCATTGCCCACTTCAACAACTTGAATTTTCGAAAGATTTTCTTCAGAGACCTGTGGAGCTGCTTGCTAAGTACTGTTAGGTTCCTAAGCTCTGTGTAACCTTTATTTTACATACCTTCCAGCTGACAAATGTAGTGTAAGAGCACAGCTGAATAGATACAATTAAGAGCATCCAAAATTTACAGCTAGTAAGAAGCCAGTCTAATGTGAAACGTCAGTTGTAAAGGCAGGAATGTCCGAGCACCTAGGGGTTTTTTTGGTTTTTTTTTAGCATTTTTAACTTAGTTGTGTTTGTATGTTGTTTCCTTTGCCATCATAGCATACACCACTTCTTCCTGAAATGATTTCCCAACCTTTTCCTAACTTCTCTTAAGATTTCAGCTAGCTCTTTTCAAACATTGCCATGCACTGCACATAGTCAACCAAAATCTCTTACTACTCAGTTTTAGTATGTAAATAAGCTGCTTGCTAAAAACACCCTGCTGTTCAGCACTCCTGCTATGCAAGGGTAATACAGGATTTGTAAACCAAGCGTTTTGAAATGAGTTTAAAAAAGTAAAGGAAGGTGTCATTTTTTTTTACACTTCAGGTGGGCTGGTTTTCTTTGCACATCATGCATATGCAACTGCAATGATGTAGATTTAAAGGAGCTCGGTCCTGATTTATGGTAGTGTGTGAACAGGATCAGGTTTTTCAGTTCTAACACCCCCCTCACCCCCCTTTTTTTTTTATCCCCTTTCCTTTTAAAACTTTGCAGCAAAAGTGACCAGGATGAATCATAAATTCCAGCAAAAGGAAAGGGAAGGAATTTAACCTAGAAGAAACTTTTTTTTTAAAGCCCAAATGCCCCCAACTTTTATAAATCAAGATGTAATGATGCCATTACATAGTTAAGAATGTAGGAATTGTTATCTCTGTAGTATCTAAGCATTTAGTTGTGCAAATGTTACCTATTACCAGCTGATGCTCTTTCCTCTTGGTTTGGGTGATCAATACACTACCAATGTGACAAGGGTTTTAGTCTTTCACCCCTAGGTCAGCAGTCAGAGTTCTGCCAGGATCAGTGTCGTGTGTTGTCACCATTCAATAGCTGTGTTTCCTCTCAATTCACCGCCACCATCAGCACCATGCAGGAGTAGGTACCCGCTTTCCTAAGGGGCTCACTGGAAAGCATGGAGTAGGTCAGAGAGAAGCAGTGTGGGGAAGACAGACTGCCCTATACCCAGCACGGACTCCTTCTGAAAAGAGGCATATCAGAGGATAAATCAACACCTTTCACAAGAATCACATTTGCTTGGAATATCTGCCGCACTTTAGTAGGGAGATCAACTTAGGCATGTATGTTACTAAGAAAGCTAAATGTACCAAACATGGAATTTTCTTGATCTGTACAGATACATGCATATGTATCCTTAACACTTCCTTTAGAGATGTTGAAATACTAAACTTGAGTTAAATAACTTTGTAACATTAAGTAAAAACATTCTCAGTGCTTTTATACCAGAACACATGTACAAATGCAATAACCTTCTCACTCTTCTCTTAAAGCAACAAGTAAACAATACTGGCTTTTTTTTTTTTTTTTTTAAATTTACTCCCATGTAGTAGAAACCAAGGTGAAGGTGTTTTTTTTTCTGAAAGATTTGATAAAAGTGATTAATTGTTAGGAAATCTGTGAACGTTTGACTAAGATATTCTTGGGGGAAAAAAAAACCTTCTTCACAGGAAGAAACAGGTTTTTTTATTGCCATGATCCAGTTTAATTTTGCTGTCCTGATAAGTTATACAAAGCCACTGTAAACCCATTTTAATCAGACTAATCCTTCAAACACCAGCTGTATTCAGTAGAGTGAAGACAAAAGCCATAACCTACCAATTAATACAGAAACGTAAGGGCAATTATGACTGACCTGTTCATACTACTCTGAGCTACCCTGGGGATGTGGTGTAGCTGCAGATGCGTATCTGTGTTTTGTGGCCCTTGGCTTCACTGTAAATATGCTACAGAAACATGTAGAACTTCCCAGCAGCTTTGCTTTACCAGGACAGCTTAAGACACCTAGATTTGCTGTTTTACAGGATCCCTTGCAACTTACTCTACTTCACTGTTTTTTCCCTTCCTCAGAATAAGGTCTGTGTGTGATGTGGATTCAGGGCCCACTGTGGCATATAAACATAAAAATGTACTTTTCCTGTATTCTGTACAGTACCAAGAACTACTCATACATGAACGTGTTGGAAAAACTGGCACAGCTATCCTGAGAAAGACAAACCTCTACAACACTGATTTTGGTAACTGAGAACTTGTGGGGATATGGGACAAGAAGTTAGGGAAGAGCTCTGGAAATTGCACCAACTTAAAACCACCTCTCCATTATAACCTTGCAGGCCATAGCCAGAGCCCCTAAATTACCCCCAAGTTTGTCTGTCTGCTCTGAAACAAAGCACCTAAAGTTGACGCCTCCATTAGTCTGAAAGTACCAGGCTCAGGCCTAGCTCATCTGAAGAGCACTGAGCTAACAACGAAAGAGAAAGCACAGACTCTCTTTACCAGCACTGGACACAGAAAGCAGATGCTGTAACTGTGGCCATCAGAGACGTATTAGCTTGACAGCAGTGGTGCACGCTAATACAGCAGATGAGTTGATTAGCTCTTGCAATACTCTACCAGCCTTGAGTTACCTCAGCAGTGTGTAGGATGCCATAAATGGAAAGGGGCATGGGTGTGTGTGAAAGATTGCAGGGCTTACCAGGCCTCTGCAGCTTAGCTTATACTGATCAGAGGTGAAATTTTATTGCAATTCTATAGCCAAGCCTCGTTGTAAGGAAATAGTATTGCCAGTTGTGCCTTTTGCATTAACAACATGGAAAAGCGTTTTTATTTTCAGAGAGAGTTGCAATTAAGATTTTGGACAAGACAAAACTAGACCGGAAGACTCAACGTTTGCTATCTCGTGAGATATCCAGCATGGAAAAACTGCACCACCCAAATATTATCAGACTGTATGAAGTGGTGGAGACACTCTCGAAACTGCACCTGGTGATGGAGTATGCAGGAGGTGGGGAGCTCTTCACTAAAATCAGTACAGAAGGGAAGCTACTAGAAACAGAGTGTAAAATCGTCTTTTCCCAGATTGTGTCTGCAGTGAAGCACATGGTAAGTTGCTCTTCTTCCACAGGCGTGTTGCCCCTCACTACTCTAGCAGATTTTGTGGATGTATCTCTTGGTTTTCAACTAGTAGGTTTACTATTACCAGGACTTCAGGCCCATATTTCTGAAGAGCAAAACAACTAGAGAAGAGCTGTCTTAAAGGTATCTGAGAGAGCTTTCACATCCACCTTGACTTACTGCCTCTCTGTTGACAGCTTTTGGGAGGAGACTGAACTGGGAATACCTGGTGGGTTGAACCATCCCTTTAGCAACAGCCTTCTCTTGTCTGCTTTAAGTTGCTGTAGGCAACAGTTAACAAAGCTTCGTTTCTTCTCTCCAGCTATTTCAAAACATAGGATCAGCCACTCTTCCGCTAGAACAAAGTGTTCCAGAGAGGAGGCCTGTTAGGTGTTGCAAACATCCAGCTTACTTATTAATGAATGTGGGAGACTGGCACTTAAGGCGATTAATTCCTGGTCCTCTTTGGCACAAATCTGTGAAGTTAACACCCAGCAAGTCACTTCCCCTTGCCTAGTCTTCAGTATTGCAACTGGGTTTAGGATGATGCTATTTGTGTAGACCCCAAATCATCTTACAAAGGCAGAAAGGGAGCGATTAACTACTTCAGTACCATCTCCTCTGAACCTTGCACAGCGACTACAGCTGCTTCAAACAACAGCATAAAAACACGGGAAGACTGTTCTGCAAGTTTGAGAAGTAAAAGTATTTGTTAAAAGTTGGCTCAGGGTGCCCTCCCGTGGCTAATGTTCTACCACGTAATAACCTCAGACAAAGTCAAAAGCAAGGATGTTCCCGGTCCGACATCTAGAAACTGCATTACAAACTGCTCGTGGCATATATAAACAGTATGCATTTTTATATATTTTGACAAAACGATCATATGTCCTGTAAGTGATAGATTAGCTTCAACACCTTTTCCATAGGACAGGTGCTCAGCAGCTACTGGAACTCTTCTTAGCATTAAACCCAGACTACCAAGCTGGCCAGCCTCTTCACTTGTACACACAGACTTCTGCAAAACATTTTACTTTTCTAAGCCATCAAATCCAGGCTACTTAAATAGCATATCACTGCTGCCAGTCCACACGAAGACAGAAAATCCCTGCCTGTTATGGATGACAGTTTAGAAGTCTTAGGATGCTGAAGGGTTTCCTTATTGCCTCCAGATACACGCACATTGTTACTTCAAAGGGTAGGGCAGAGACTGCTCAAACACATCCATTCCTCCAAGTCATTTCAAAGATGAAGCTAAACCCTTACCTAATCAAGACAGGTACATCGCCTCTAAAAAGAGCAAACTCAGTTTCAGTCCTTGGCTACTACTTGCCATTTCTAAGGGAAAAAAGTACAAGTTACAGCTGTCCTGGTTTGAGGACGCCACGACAACAGCATATGTATTAATTTTAGATTTCTGAAACTATCGGACACCACTGAACTTGGTGTCTTGCAACAATGTAAAATACCACAAGGCAGAAGTCTGTGGTCCTTTTCTCCTGCCACCATCAGTTCCTGACAGGACTTTAGATCACACAACAGAATTGTAGCAACTTAATTTATCTGTGATTATGCTCACTTGGTGAACTAAATGGTTTCATGTCATAAGTCAACAAGCTTACAATATATCCAAAAATGGAATCAGTTAAAAAGAAATGATTTTTTGTTACTTACGTTGTTACAGAAATGTAGTCATTGCAAAAGCAAGTGTTCTGAACTCTGAAAAAAAATAGATTTTTGCACCTGGAGATATCTAGTCTTGTGGGATTAGCCATGATGCCATCACAAATCTGTTTCATGAAAATAGTTGATATTTGTTAACAAGAGACTGCTACTCTTAAAAACCCCATCATCCTTCTTCCCATCTTCTCCACCTACTCTATTGTTTTTGTATCAGTAGAAAATTAAGTTAATTTTGTTTAAATAATATTCAATGCCATTGCAATGCTTATTTCTGACTTGGTCCAAAATAACTCCATTTCTTCTGTGTGGTAATTAATTGACGGTAACAGCTTGTCACTTGAGAACTTTCCTGTGAACAAACTAATGCCAAATTTTCTTCTTGTTCTACAGCATGAGCATAATATCATTCACCGGGACTTGAAAGCAGAAAATGTCTTCTACACCAGTAACACCTGTGTTAAGGTGGGAGACTTTGGATTCAGCACAGTAAGTAAAAGAGATGAAACTTTAAATACTTTCTGTGGCTCTCCTCCTTATGCTGCCCCCGAACTCTTCCGAGATGAAAAGTATGTTGGCATTTATGTAGACATCTGGGCACTAGGAATCCTGTTATACTTTATGACGACGGGTATCATGCCATTTCGGGCAGATACAGTGGCCAAACTGAAAAAGTGCATTCTTGAAGGGACATACAGTTTGCCTCCCTGCCTCTCGGAAGCTTGCCAGAAACTGATAAAAGGAGTCCTTCAGCCAATACCAACCGAACGATACTCTCTCAAACTTATTATGAACAGTGAATGGATGCAAGGAATACAGTACCCCAAACCTTTACAGCAGTTTAAACTGGATCCTAAGTACTTATCGGACACCAGTACGCTCAAAGAGGAAGAAATCGAAGTGAAAAGTATTCTGGAAGATCTGGGAATCACAGAAGAACATATTCAAAATAACCGGGGAAGAGATGCGCACAGCTCAATAACAGGGGTCTACAGGATTGTTTTGCACAAAGTACAGAAGAAAAGGGCACTTGAATGTGTTCCTATCATGTCCCATCCAGACCCCAAAGAACATGACTTGAGTAGAGGAATCAGTTCCTGCAGTGGGATCAAGCAGACATCCAAGCTGTGTTCTATTTTATAAGTTGCACTGCAGACTTTATGCTTGGCACATTTAACAAAGGGTTTTATTCACTTTTCACAAGTTCTGGTGTTACATTTTTTGTAATTTATGAATAAACCCAAAATGCCTCATCTCCCTTGCATTTCTCAAATCACCGTGAAGCGCTCAGAAACAGAGCTCTCATGCGTTTGTTTGTCCCTTGCTCTAGAGACATGATATAGCCAGTGCAAGAACCTCAAGTAAGTGAGACAGGTATGGGATCATTATGGAGGTCACCTTTTCGTAAAGATCAAATTGTATTGCATTTAACACACTTGGGAGATTTTCAGTACAGGCATTTGACAGCTGACTTCTTGGGAGTTTGTACCTCAGCTTGACACAACCATACTACTGCAAACCAACACAGTTTTTGCAGGGAACTACATTTAAGCAGAAAGCAGGCCATAATCTAAACTGCAAATTCTCCTTTAAAGCTTCTTCAGCAAATTAAACAAGATAAAATGTACATAATTTTATTTAATGAAACAGCAATGCTGTTGTTGACCATAGTTCCTAATTTGTCACAACTCAGAAAGGCGAATTAGGATATGCTGCTTTAACCCGCACGTGTGGTTGCAATTCCCAGTGCAGAGCTGGCTGGGCTACCATCTACTAACCTTCTGACAGCTTCCATCACCTGCACGATTCTGACAGTCTAGAACTGCTTGGACTCCAGTTGCACTCCAATAAAGAAAGATTTAAGCATACTCCAAAACTCATGTAGTTTTAAATTCTTGCTTTAGCACAAGGTATCAGTCAGCTGAATGCAACCACTAACAGAATCACTTTATATATTGAGCATTACAGGCTTGTACTAACTCCTGCCATACTACTTGGGCAACAAAGGCTGGCACAAAGCCAATTTTGATACTCCTGACCACTGCAAGTTAAAAGTTGGATAGCCCGAGAACTCCAACTGCTCTGAGCATCACCAAGATGCAGATACTCCGATTTTCAGCTTTAATTGATATTTTATACTTTAATCTTCAATACCATCAGCTCCAGTGCAAATGGTGGAAAAGTGGAGTAGCTGTCTTTCTGTGAACAGGCACAGGTGACATCCTAAGCTAAGAGTTGAGCCTGTATGATTTTATTTAAGGCAAGTGAACTACTACAAGGTTTAGAGAGGTACAGCTGGTGCTTTCAAATTTAAGGGCAGGATGGGGAGTGATGAGATCATTCTTGAAGGGACATACAGTTTGCTGTACAAACATTGACTTTAAAAGGAGTAATTAATGTAAATGAGCAACAGAATGACTTTGAAAAGCCACTCATGGGAAACTGGACTCAGTGAGGCTCAGGTAAGTACAACGCAAGAACCAATCCTCCTTCACGGTTTTTCTGAGGGGGATAAAACATACCATCTTTCATAAGACAGTAATAAAGATGAATTGTGTTTCATAAGCTGGGAATGAATTCCTCCACTATAAACAGTTTCCATATGAAAGCACTTAAGTTATCTTGAAACACAGCCCTGAAATAATGGCTTTGCACCAGCCTAAGAAACCCTTTCTTTCCACTTTTGTAGTGGACTATTAGGAAGAAAGATCCAGAAGGTCCACACAGCTTGTGAACCCACAACTTCAGGTTTTCACAGGGCCAGTTTCCTCTTTCTTTCCTGTTAAAGAAAAAAAAATGCATCCTGAAAACCCAACAAGTCAGCACTACTCCAGCAAGTTTCAAATATCTCAAACTTTATTTTAATAAAGGATCAACCTCATGGACCGTGAGGTCCCTGTGGTTAACTTTGTGCCAGTAGCTCCCTTCTTGGCTTGTCCACTGCCAGCAATGGACTTTGTTCCATGGCAATTTGTTTTTCTGGTACCAAGGTAAGTTTCGCGAGGGCAACCTAAACCAAAATACTTGCAAATGCTATCATCATGCATCATTGCTCCATCATTTTCAGCAGCACAAACAGATTAGTATTCGTAAATTTATAATAAACAACTATTTTACCAAGGCTTGACTGTACAAATACAGCAAGTTATCAAATCCTGGTGAGTGACAGATAATACAAACACGTCATTACACACAACAAAAAAAAATTGTAATTTAACAGACAAATCTTTTTTGCTACTTTATATTAGATAATGTAGCTTTGTAGAATTAGCAAGGAAATAAATTCAACAAAACTTCATTCTGTACATTAAGTCAATTTAAATATATATTACAAGCTTACAAGGCTCATGTCATAGTTCAATTCCAATCTGGGTTTTAAAAATCTCCCAGAATGGCATCCCCATTAGCATTGTATATCTACCACTTGCAAAATGGATAGCTTTTAGCTTGCATGTTGGGAGAGAAAAAAAAAAAAAAAGGAATAAAAGACCCCACTCCTACAATATTACCAATAGCGAGAAGGACTTCTAAGTACAAAGCCAAATTCCAAGTTAGAAATAGTCTTTCAGAAATGTATTATACAAAGAATAGCAAGAGGCCAGAGCTCCAGACAAAGTGATCTTGCTCCCTTCCTTCATTTGCCAATTAAAACAGCTCCATAATATCTAGAAGTTTTATTTGAAAATTCTGCTGCCTTAGATACTTCTACTAAACAATCCTGAAAGGTGCCAAACCAATGAATCCATTTCTTTAGAAGAAAAAAGTTACTACCTCCCTTCTTTTTCCTCTTTCCTCCCAGGCTGCGGTGATTTATAATGGAGGTATAAAACACATAATATGGATGTTTGGAGGAATTGCACCGTAACTAACACAGTGGGTCACAGAGTTTCTTGAAAGAAAACCACCTGTCAGTCTTGCCATTCTTGATCCAGTCATTTTGACAGGAGAGAGATTCTATTCTGGCATTGAATGTTACTAGGTTCTATACCTTTCCCAAAGCACTGGGGTGATGGGAGGTAGGCTGGGAGAAGAAAGGGAAGGTGAAAAAGAGAAGAAGTGCAGTATTCAGAAGATTGACTGTTTACTGTCAAGGCACTGAGAACCCTAACATTAAAAGCTTGGACTATTTTGCCACACGCTTGAGTACAAGTAGAAGTTAACAGTGTAGGCTTCAAGTCATTTTACATGGAAAGAGCAAGCGGAAGATTCTTTTTTTTTTTCCTATGTACAAAGACCTTGTAATAGACTACAGCTACTACTCAGCAATTAAAAAAAATTCAGACACGTTGAAGAATCCACACAGCCCTTGGCAAGTCCCTCCAGTATATTCATGATTTTAGTGTTCTGAAAATACTATATCAGCACACCGTATTATGACAAATCTTTTCAAGGAGCTTAAACAGTTTTTCCGTGCTCCAATGAAGTACTACTGTACACTGAAACTTCAGCACTACTGCAATCCTTTTTCTCTCTCCCTCACCCTACCCTCACACCTTGTTTCATTCCCCACCTCACAGAGGTATCTTAATGCTCCCCATTGGAAATGGCAACAGTAACGCCTTCAGATTCTGTTGTTGCAGGGATTCTTGGCACTTTCTTAGCAGGGCTTGGGATGTGCTAAGAAGAAGGGAAAAAAAACATTAAATACAGTTTTCTAGTTCACAGACACTCATACTTCACAGCTAGTCCAACTTTCAAACAACGTTCATGCTACACTGGACAGCTTGGTCTTAAGTCAGTCAAACCTGTCATGCTTCATGCAAACTGATTATGTGAAAAGAGCCAGTTTGTTCTTGATTCATTATTGTTCAGCTTCATTCTTGTTATGATGAAATGTACTTTTTAAAATCCCATGTTCAATTTTTTACTTCTGGCTTGTATGTTACATATGTTAACAAAGTATTGAATGCAACTTGTTAAACCGCTTCCTCTTTTAACATACATGCACATGCTAAGACAAGCACATAACAGTTCCACCATTTATATCAAACTTTAAAAGAGTGCTGAGTGTTCACCTCATGAACAACGCCTGGGTGGACAACTTCAACTCCTGCCTCCAGAGGTCCATCACCCATGAGCGGGCGCCGTGCATAAGTTCTCCTATGTTTTTCATCCACACGCACAAGGTACCATGTTCCCTCGAAGAGATCTTCAACCGAACACTGTGGAATATAGTTGGCTGTAAAGAAGCCAGTAACACACTGTTAGTTTGTTCTGGGCAAAGGTTTTACACAACACAGGCCTTTGCAGTTTGGACGTTGTAAGCCAGAAATAACAAGTCTGTGTTTTCATTTCAGCCATAACAGGCCAATGAACACAAGCTATTCAGAAGCAGAAAGGGTTGGACATTTCCTTCATTCTACGCCCTAATCATTTAAAGGCCAGGTGAATAAAGCGATGAGCATTTTGCTGTAAAACTAGGAATTATTTATATTTATGAAGATCTTACCCAAATGATGTGTTTCCTGTCTAATCTTCATGTTTTCAGCAAAGACATCGGGTGCAATACATTTTCTTGAGTCAAGTCTTGTTTTGAGATCAGAAAGGCTGGCAGTTATTTTGTCCAGTGCAGAACCTACAACATAAAACCATCATGTAAGGTAGCACCAGTGCTGAGAACTGCACACTAGCATGTTAACTTTTCAAGCCCATTCAAAATATTTTGCGTTACAGAACCTAAACTTTTAGTCATTCAAAAATATTGCCAATTACTCAATCAAAACTTTGAGTTTGAAGAATATTATTTATTTGCCCAAGGAGACACTTAAACATTCCCTGGAGCTGGAACATTTCCAGTTTAGCTTTACTGTCATTAGGCACTGCTTTGCAAGTTTACTTATGTGGATGGGTAGTGTAACAAGGCATTTAGAGGTGAGCTGTGCAAGGGAGTTAATTAACACATCTTCCTTTCACTCACCAGGAGTGGCATCCTGTGTAACTCTGATGGAATACAGTGTAGCAGCAAAACCAGAGCCATATGAGAACACACTGATCCTCTGTCCTGCCAGCTGCTCCGGGGAGTACCTGCAAAGCAAGCAACAATTGTTTGAAGTGAGAATTAAGCCAAGGTGCCAATTTTAAATAACTAGAAAGTGCTGTTAACTTAGAAAAAGCAGCCAGCATATACTGACTACAATACAAAA